CGTGGGGGGCAAACCTCAATTTCTTTTGCGTCGTACTTTTGTATGATGGCCATAGCTACATATCAACGATGGTATACATCAATGTGTTACCGTTAGAAGGTAAAATGTCAAAAGGTGTCTGTGCTAATTATAACTATCTTCACAATAGTATATGCAGTTTGTGGTTCGTTATTTTATCTCTTCTGCAGGCTGCAGCCCAGCTGCAACTCCTAAAGGTTGGTGCAGACACTCAAAAGCTCTTCCTAGAGCAGTAGAGATGTCTGTCTCTGCAGCACATCACTCGGTGGATCTAGATGTGTAGATTTACAACCTTCAACTATTCATGGGCACACTACTTTTACTATGAGTTCCTCTCATATATTGAACACTATTTCCCATCAATAGGCATTCAGGCTCTCTTTCATAAGTTTCTTTGTAGATCCTACTTGGCTGCCTAATAGCCTTCTGATACCATCATTCTACTTTCTACACTAGTGCCAAAAAGGTAAATGACTGCTATATAATTACATTTCCATTTGGCACCCAAGATACTCATGATTCTACTATCATTTGTCAGGAATGTGTAGTTTGGACATTGACACATTCTTCAAGGTAAAACTTTGACCATCATTTCAAATAAAAAATCAAGATATGGTGCTTCGAAGAATATTAGTACTCCCTCCGTAAAGAATAGTGATCTAAACGCTGAGGGAGTACAAAATAACTTTTGTATGGATCTAGAAATGATTGTGACCCATGCAGACTTCCAGTTCCACCAGTAAAAAAGGAACAAGAAGAAGAACATCAACAGCCAACAGATCAAGGAAGCCAAAACAAAGGCCAACTTAACCCAAGGCTTGACAGGCACCCACCCGTTGCCGAGGCACAACTGCTAATTCTTGCGAGTATGCTGCCGGTGCATTGCAATATTAGTCACAGGTAATAAGAAAATAAAGTTTCTAAACATAAACATTTCTATCTTTCTGCTCACTTACAAACTTACAGTTGCACCAGTAAAGCAACATGAACACCAACAGACCAAGGAAACCAAACACAAGGGCCGGCCAACTCAACAAAAGGCTTTTGACACCTGATAGACAAAAATGCACTTAATGCAGGGCTCTCCAAGGATCTGCTGCTGCCTGTTTGTTAGCCTAGCCCATGGCGTGCTCCAGCATCTACTGCCGTTTCTCGCGTTAGCATTGTCGGCGACGAGAGGGGATATATACAGACGGAGAAACAACACTTGATCTGATCTCTCTAGCTTCACTTTCACACAGCCGGCTACGTACTATCACACCTGGTAGACCATTCCTACCTCCAGGGTGGAAGCATGGGGTATGTTGGCGGCGTAGGACGGGCCGCGGCTGTTCCTCCTCAGGAACTCGTAGAAGAAGTTGATCACGATCCGCTTCACGAAGCTAGACCCGCTCTTGGCCTTCATGTGGGAGTGGCCCAGAATGAAGGACATGCCAGCCTCCCTTGCGTCCATCAGGTCCTGCAGCTCGCTCCGCACCTCGGCGTCCACCTGGGCGCTCTTTGGCAGCACAAACCTCGCTTTCTTTCGCTGTGGTGCCAGAGTCTGTTGGTTTATCTCCTTGTTAGGGGATGCCGGCCCATCAACTTCACCAGCACCGTCCTCCTCCCACAATGGAATGGCACCGCTGCTAATGGAGGAGAGTTTCTCGCTGCCTTCCACAAAGCCATTCTGGTCAGACCCCCCACTGCGAATGAACTCCGCTATGCTGTTGATTAGCTCCTTCTCAAATTCTAGGTCATCCTGCTGCACATCACGGTACCCATATCTGACAATGACCCTGTATAGCCTGTACTCTTTCGGACCAATGCGACCCACCAGAAATCTCTCTTCTGGTTCAACATGTGGCACTGGAACTGATTTAACACAGAGAAAGACCAGTACCTGATCAAAAATATAATCTGTAAGCACTCTACAAGCTTCCGAGGTACAATTCAGAAAAACTGTTATATAAGTTGGTCCACAAACATGTTGATGAAATAGAAGGATGCAAGCTGAAACAAAAAAACATATGGTAAGGTGCGTCCATACCTGGTGAAATGCTGGCAGATTTGTTACGAAATGGGAGAAAATGGCTGGAATTCCCGACATAAGCTCTGTATGTATCAGCCCAATGCCTCGAACACGAACAATTCCCAGTGAAGGGCCGAGGTTCAGTAACCAGTTTACTGAAACCTTGTTTTGAACATCAAACTCGTACTTCTTTATTGTGCCATAGTGCCACACAGACATGACCACCATAAATATGAAGGAAAGGGTAATAGGGACCCAGGCACCTTCATGAAACTTGCCAAGGGAAGCTGAGAAGTACATTACTTCGATTGAGCCAAAGAAAATCAGGAAACCAAGGGCAATGAAGATACTTTTGTTCCAGACAAGCACGATAACCAATGACATTAAACAAGTGGTGACAAGCATAACCGTTATGACCGCAAGACCTTGTATAAAGAAAGTTGGAGGGTTAGGACTGCCGCAATTATGAAATCATTTCAGTACATGAAAATACAAAAAGAAAATAGCATCTGCATTTCTTGGTGTCCATAGGAAAGAACTGTCATCATATTAACTCGTCTCACCTTGTGCGTTCGCCAAGTGCTTTGTGTTATTGAAGCCAATAGTAACAGCCAGACACAGTATCATCAGGATCCAATTGATCTCAGGTATGTATATCTGACCATGCACCGTAGAGGATGTGTGCACGATCTTTACACCAGGGAAGCAACTTAGTGCAGAGCACTGCTTGATAATTGAGAAGGTACCAGTAATAATCGCTTGGCTTCCGACTACAGATGCTAGGATAGCGATCACTAGAACAGGCCATCTGAGTTTTTCTAGAAGGACAGTTGTATACATCAATGCTCGAAAATGCGCAAATCTTATACTTGTCAATTATTTTACCAGCAATAATTAAAATAACAAAAGGCACACCCAAAAAGGATACCTGGTACTGAAACATAGAACCCAATATGATAGCTATTCTCAAAGCTGTGGTGTTGAGAGATATAGGCAGCCTGTCCCATATAAGCCAGAACAAGAGCTGGATAAACCACTGATATGAACGCAATCTGATTGAAGCAAAAACATTGAGATAAGTAATTGATGATAATCCGGATTTTAGATTAAGAATTGTGAGTACCACATGGATACTAAAAGCTGGAACTCTGTAGAAGGTAATGTGAAATATAGGAGTAACAAGGATACAATAGTCCTATATACTGAGTCACAACTGATTTATTTCTCAAAATAAACAATAGACTAAAGTTGTGTCTCCTAAATCAGAGGGAAAAACAAAGATCACCAGGTATCTTGCAAGTAAAGATATACATCTGTACAAGATTAAACTACTGATTGACCTTTTAAGGAGATCAGTTCATTAGTATTGCCATTCAAATGGAATCTGCACACCTATGCAGAAAACAATATACTAGAGAGATGGTTGCTATCAAATACGATTTTTACTGAACAAGTACTTGACAGCTATCTAAACAGTTACTAACTAAAGCCTGAAGGAAGGAAAGAACAAATGGTAGGTGGACCAAACAAGGGGATAAACTTAAGGACAATTAGAAGAAAAAGAAGGATAAATCACTTTTAGATTTTAGCACAATTCTATTATAGTACAAATATATACATATGTGATCCACGTATATAAAGGATAAAGGATGCAACAATAATTTCTAATACCGCTATTTTAGCACAAATGGTAGCATAACTTCTATTTCAGCATAACTTCTATTACAGTACAAATATTACAACATCCCTCCAGTATATAACACCGCTAGATTTGAAACTCTCCTCGGGAATTTTTTAATAGAATTATGTGAACTTATCACAACTTAGATAATATCAAAAAAAAGATATGACTACAATAATACTCCTTCCGTTCATAATTATAAAATGTTCTAACTTCTTTTCTCAATCGGATGTATATAGACACGTTTTAGTGTGTTTGTTCAATTATTTCAGTCCGTATTTAGTCCATATTGAACTATCCAAAACATCTTATATTTGTGGACGAAGGGAGTATTAAATAAGGTCATCAACCATAGTGACACAAGTAAGAAATGTGAAACATGGTGTGCAATACCTTGTACTTTGAAAAGAGGGATTGTAAATAGTAATTAGTAGGGTGCAGAAAACAATATACTCAAGAGACGGTTGCTATCAAGTACGATGTTTACTGAACAAGTACTTGACAGCTATCTATAACAGTTACTCCCTAAAGCCTAAAGGAAGGAAGGAACAAATGTTAGGTGGACCAAACAAGGGGATAAAATTATGGACAATTAGAAGAAAAAAAGGATATCACTTAGATTTTAGCGCAACTTTTTTTTAATAGAAATTATGTGAACTTATCACAACTTTAATAACATTAAAAATGATATGACTACAATAATATTATTTTATATCTATATAACGTATCGACACACAAATAAGGTCATCAACCATAGTAACAAGTAAGAAATGCGAAACATGTTGTGCAATACCTCGTACTTTGAAAAGAGGGGATGTAAATAGTAAATTAGTAATTAGTAGGGTGTTATCAAGGGATTAATTGTGTGTTTCAGATGTTCAACTTAATCACTTGAGCCTCCGATTGGATGGATGGTTTGCGTCACCCTAACTTGTATATATGGTAGGACTTTATTTTCCTCTTTGAATTGACTCATGCAAGTAATTACTGAATGGTGTATTCAGAATTAAATCGGGAAGTTCGTATTTGGCAAATTGACAGAAGGGGTATCACCGAAACAGTCGTACCTGAATTGATCGTTGCGAGAAATGTCCAAGATCTGCATACATAGCTTCCGAGCCTGCAGGTAACAGCACTTCAAATAAGTCTGTGTTCTTGTGTGTAGGACAATCCCTCAACAGAGTCACAGCTAAGCAGTAGGCAACAGCCTACCTTATCCATACCTGTTACACAGAGAAGGATTCCACCCAGTGACAGCCAGCCACCTTTTTGGGTCTTCTTGAGAAACTGATACATGTAGTAGGGCGAAAGGGCTCGATACACATGGTGGTTCCAGTGGATGATGTTGTAGAGCCCGATCATGCTTATGCAGAGAAGCCAAATGCAGACGATTGGCGCAAAGATAAACCCAACTCTGTGCGTGCCATAGTGTTGCAGAGCAAACAAGCATACGAGTATCGCGCACGTCACCGGAAGCCCTACATCTGCACATTGGCACGCACGCCACATTAAGCATCCATATGCATGGTCCTCCAATCAAACATAGCAAGTTAGTAGTGCTGGTCGAATGCTCAAATGATAAACCAGCTCAATGGGAAGGAGTAGCAAGTAAAATCAAGCATTGGTAATCTAGCAATAGTAGATAGAAACGGCTGAAAGAAGAAACGGACTGGACCTACATTTGTGTTGCGCCTTCTCCATTGATAGCTCGAGCCCCGAGACCGCGGAGAACACTGAAAAGGGTTGGAGGAAGCGCGTCGCCCGCGTCAGAGGGCCAAGAGACCGATTGAACGAGATGGGAGGGAGTGGGGTGAAGCAACAAACCGGAGAGCGCAGGGGTGAGCACGCCGTCGCCGATGAGCATACACGTCCCGAGCAGCGCGAAGAAGAGCAGGAGCCTCTGCAGCACCCTGTACCTCTCCAGCACCGTCCTGGCCCTGGAGACGGCGCCGCGACGGCTGGCGGCGGCGTCCTTGTCGTCCGCCATGAGGTCGTCGCTGTTGCCGCCGCCGGGCAGGAGGCCGGCCCGCACGTGGCGGCAGATGAGGGAGTAGAGCGCGAAGGTGCCGCCCTCGCCGCCGTCGTTGGCGCGGAGCACGATGCAGACGTACTTGAGGAGGGAGATGAGGGTGAGCGTCCAGAAGACGAAGGAGAGGACGCCGTAGATCTCCTCGTTGCCCGCCGTGTGCGTGATGTCGTCGCCGGCGAAGGCGCTCTTGAAGACGTAGAGCGGCGACGTGGCCACGTCGCCGTACGCCACCCCGAGGCTCTGGTACGCCAGCAGCAGCACCGCGGCCCACGACTCCCCCCGCTTCCGCCGCGCAGCAGCAAGAAGAAGAAGAAGCAGCAAAACCCGTCAGCACACACACACACACACAAAAACAAAGCCGCCCGAGCGAAGCTCCGGCGCCGAATCCAAGAATCCAGAGCGCTCGCTCGCTCACCTTCCGCGGCGCCCCCGCGCCGTGCGCGAGCTCCAGATCCATGCCTCGCTCGCCTCCACAAAAACCACCCGCGCCTCAATGCGCCGCGGCGCCCATGGGAGCACCCGCACTCCAAGTCACCGGAGGAAGACGGACGGACGATTCCCGCCCGGCAAACCGCACCGCGGGGCACACGGCAGGATTTATCGCCTTGGACGCTTGCGGGAGAATCCTCCTCCTCCTCCGACGCGCACTCGCCGTCTCCAACCAGCTTTGCTCCTCCTCCGAGCCAAGGAGACGGGGGAAGACGGAAGCGGCAGCGGCGGCGGGTGCTTTTCTTTTGCCGCTCCGAGAAGGCCGCGACGAGTCAAACAAAACAAGTGAGCGGAACAGGGTTGGGCGGAGAGACTGGAGAGCAGAGCCCGAGTGACCAGCCAACCAACCAAGCGGAGGCAAGGCAAGAGGAAGAAGATAGGGACTACTAGTAGTAGTAGATGCGGGATGGCGCGGCGGTGGGCTCCTCCCCTCGCTCCGGCTGGGGCGAATTTTTTTATGTGGAGGTCGGGCGACGCGGAGCGGATCCTTGTAGCTGCGGAAGGTGGCAGGAAGGGAGGGCGGACGGATCGATCGGAGCGCGCGCGTGCGGTGCCGTCGGGCGGGACGGGACGCGTGGGGCGCGATACGTGGTCGCGGCTTTTGTATCTCGTCTGCGACCATCGTCTATCCATTGTGCGTGGCTTTTAACGCCGGGGCATGTGCTTTTCGCTTTAGTCGGTGAACAGCGGATTACACATGTTGTTAGGGTGGAGCGGGAATCTGCTTATACTCCACTTATTACACTCTGGTGGTCGTATCGTGGTGTTCAAGGATCACGGGAAGAAGGTGGCGGGCGAGCGGGTGGGTGAGCGAGCGAGCGAGCGAGCGATGCTGCATGGCACGGCATCGGACTCTTTGGCTGGCGTGCAGGGACGGGAAATATATGGTTACAAATGGCGTCTCTTCTTGGACTGCATGGTTAGAGGATGGTATAGAAAAATTGTGGAAGGGATGAGCACGTTGACTGGTAAAAGACGGGATGCGGAGGAGGAGGATGAGGAGGATGGTCCGCGGAGGACTCGAGAAGTTTCTGGGGTTAAACTCTGGGTTTAATGTTATGTACTTTCGTTCGTCTATAAAAGGTGTATATCGGTTACATGAATTTCATAATAGAAGGGCGTTACGAGCCCGTTTCGGGGTGGACTGCCAAAAATGGCCCCCTCCCCGTTTTCACGTTCTCTTATCCTAAGAAAAGTTGCTTCACACGCTGACTCTCCTAGCCACATTTCGCCCCTTCATTCTCCGCGTTTGGCGATGTTCACATACGGGTGTGGCTAGCTCCCATCTAGATGAGAGCTAAATATATTGTATCTAACTTTTACACCATTTGATGTCACGTGGAGAACGGGATTGAAAAATTGTGGAAGGGATGAGCCCATTGAATCGTAAAAGAGGGGATGCAAAGAAGGAGGAGGGTCAGCAGAGGACTCGAGAATTAAACTCTACTAGGTTTAGTGTTATGTACTTTTGGCCATCTACAAAAGTCGTACATCGGTTACATGAATTCCATGAAGGAAGGGCGTTATGAGCCCATTTTTGGGTGGACTGCCAAAAATGACTCCGCCTTCCGTTTTTGCGTCCTCTTATCCTGAGAAAAGTTGCTTCACACACTGACTCTCCTAGCCACAGCTCGCCCCTTCATTCTCCACATTTGGCGATGTTCACATACGGGTGTGGCTATCTCTTATCTAGATGAGAGTTAACTATGCCGCATCTAACTCCTCCACCATTTTAATAGCACATGCATTTTTCTTTTAACTTTTAACTTGAATATTCAGAAGGTATAGGAGTTAGATGTGACTTTGTTAAGTCTCATCTAGATGACATAAATGATGAGCGAAAATCACTGGAATTGAGGAGAGGTATGACATCGACTTGCGTTACCGGGGGTAGAAATAAGAGTTTTTCATTTGATCACACGTTGTTTGGTCTACGTGCAGAAAAGCTTCATGTTTTTTTTTCAAACGGGTGAAGTATGTTTTGCTCAAAATGATTATCCTCCTAGTGAACGACAATACTTCCATCAACATTGACATGCTTGTGGTGACTTCACTTGTCTTATAACTCTAAGATTTTAATGGCTATCCTCCTAGTGAACGACAATACTTCTGTCAGCAATGACGTGTTGTCATTACTTCACCAATCTCGGAGCTCTCTAACTCTAGCCATGAACGCTTGTTTGTGTGAAAGTGTATGTGCATTTACATTACTTGGTGTATAAAAAGAAATATAAAATTTCAAATGGATTATAGTTATAATTCTACTTATCAAGCAACCAACGTAGGTAACCTTTAAGACATACACTTTACTAAAATTCCCTCCATATCCTTGGAAGCCTCTTTCCTATTGGAAATAATAGGCATTGGCCTATGTATTTTCGCATTAAAGAGAAAGCAACGTGTGTGGAGAACATGTGGGATTTAGTCTGATACTGCCAATGAATTTCTCCACATACTGTGGATTCAGGTGATTGAAGGTATGCCATTCTCTTGATGAGGTTCATGGGAAGCAACCTATAAATTCGGAGAAACAAATAGAAAGTGGTGGGAGAGACGAAAGGGTATTGTATTGGACTTCTCAGAGAAAAAATAATGAAAACTGAACTCAAACTTGCCATTTATGAGTTGAAGGCATATAGATACATTCCACAAGAAAAGTGATCCAAAGAGCTTTGTACAAAAATTCTGAATATTTCATTTTCAAAATTTCTATATAAAACCATGCAATCCAAAGAGACCATCATCTGAGAATACAATCATAGAACCATCTAGCTAATATGAATTTACAATTAGGGAAATACCCCAATGGTGAAATTGACGCTAAGATACATTCCATGGGGAAGTGATCCAAAAAGCTTTGTAGGTAAAATCTGAATATTTCATTTTCCAAATTTCTATAAAAAAAATCATGCAATCCAAAGAGACCCTTATCTGAGAGTCCCTATACACCCATCGGGCCATCTAGCTAAAACATAATTTACAATTAGGGCAACGCACCATTGGTAAAATTGAAGCTAAAAGTAAGTACTCTTTTTCAAGATGCCTCTCGCGCCGATCTCGCATGCATGGTGAAAGACCTGCTTGAGAGTTAATTCCAGATTACGCGCATGCACTGTTTGGAATTAAATTCCCTTGAACAACAGGGGTTAATACCGGGTTGCACGCATGCATCTTTGGAATTAAATTCCCTCGAACAACGGGAGTTAGTACCGGATTGCACGCATGCATCTTTGGAATTAAATTCCCTTGAATAAAGATGGGATATACATCGGCATAATAAGAACGGGCACCGGTTGTTTGGCCTAATAACCCTGGACGGAGAAAGTTGCTACATCTCTCATTGTCCTTTGGTTTGTAAGTTCATATGAGGTGACGTAAATGATTATGATCATCTTTATTTATGAAATTTATTCTTCCATGCACTGGTGTTATCTTAGTTGGATGGTGCATTTATAGATGCAAAGTGGATCTCTATTCTTAAGTCTTATCTTGACCTGGCTATGATACCCGGACAATAGAAGAAACAATGTGCATTAGATGGAGTGAACCAAGAGTATGAATAGCATGAGTGACTCAAAGGATAAAAGCACTATTGTATGTTGGTACATTTTTTGATCGCCTTACTAAAGGTAAAGTGGAAGAAGTTCATTATATCATTATCAGTATGGATGGTAGATTGTATTTCGGCAAGTATGCCACCGAACTTAATGCAAGGTCTTTTAGTTTGTACATAATGTCATAGGTATTAGGAACCATACATGAAGTAAAAGCCAAGTGATTTCTGGGATGTAGGTGATTTTTGATGGAATTATGTTGTAAACATATATATGGTTCGAGGTCTTATATTTATATCCATGCTTAATATTATGAAACATCATGCGTATGAGAGATGATACTAGTAAAACTATGAAATGCAACCATATTTTACACATAAGAAACAACTTTAAGATTAATATGCACTTTTATTTCTAGCCTTTTATTAGTACAAAGATACTTATATTGTCATTATCTTATAATAACCGTGAAACTATGCAACTATTGTAATTAACAAGTGCACTAGGTGTATTGTGGACATATGAAGTTGTCTAATATTTATTCCACGGTTATTTGATGGGGGGAAACCAAACACCCTTTATCTCTCCTGGGTTGAGAACCTTATCTCACTCACTTGGGAGGAAAATTTGTTGTTGTCTATGATAACCCACAAGTATATGGGATCGCAACAGTTTTCGAGGGTAGAGTATTCAACCCAAACTTATTGATTCGACACAAGGGGAGCCAAAGAATATTCTCAAGTATTAACAGTTGAGTTGTCAATTCAACCGCACCTAAAAGACTTAATATCTACAGCAAAGTATTTAGTAGCAAAGTAATATGATAGTAGCGGTAACGGTAGCAAAAGTAACAGTAACAGTTTTGTAGTGATTGTAACAATGGCAACGGAAAAGTAACTAAGCAAAGCACAATATGTGAAAAGCTTGTAGGCAATGAATCAGTGATGGATAATTATGTCTGATGCGATTCCTCATGCAACAGTTATTAGATATGGTGACACAGAACTAGCTCCAGTTCATCAATATAATGTAGGCATGTATTCTGAATATAGTCATATGTGCTTATGGAAAAGAACTTGCATGACATCTTTTGTCCTACCCTCCCGTGGCAGCGGGGTCCTATTGAAAACTAAGGGATATTAAGGCCTCCTTTTAATAGAGTACCAGACCAAAGCATTAACACTTGTGAATACATGAACTCCTCAAACTACGGTCATCACCGGTAAGTATCCCGATTATTGTCATTTCGGGGTTAACGGATCATAACACATAATAGGTGACTATAGGCTTGCAAGATAGGATCAAGAACTCACATATATCCATGAAAACATAATAGGTTCAGATCTGAAATCATGTCACTCGGGCCCTAGTGACAAGCATTAAGCATAGCAAAGTCATAGCAACATCAATCTCA